GCCTGCTGACATCACCAGACGCGAGCCAGAACAAGAGCAGAGCAAGAAAATCTGACCGACCTTAAAGAGCCATCCGAAAGGAAAGGCCCTCTCCTCGCAGAGACACAGTTGTAATCAACACACCACGAGGACCATGGTCGAGGAGATGAGCAAGACAGACAAAGTCCAAGAGATGAGATTCGGAATATCTCAACTGTCAGATCGGTGTGAAACGAGAGCTGACTCCCCTGCAACTGTTCTGCACTGGCTACATGCTGCAGGTATCAAAGAGATGATCTGGAATGTGTTGGATGTTGAAGAGTTAGAACACATCATGAAGGCAGAAGAAGGCTGATACGATGAAGGCAGAAGAAGGCTGATACCAGCTGTAAGGAGCAGCAGAAAGGCCATGTAAGTTTACTTTCACTGTAATACGTAATATTGTAATGTAACAATTTGCAGTGAGTTTGGCTTGTAAATTTAGCATATGTCATCTGCCAATCATTGTGTCTGGCAGATAAAATGTGAAAAGATGACAGTATGAAGTAGCAGGGTCTCATTTCATCGTAGGTTTACGAATACAAATATTGTCGGATTGCCCCCGTCAGTTCCTATGTCCGAATGGGAGGGGATTCTAAAAGCAGTTTGATTATCCTAGAAATCCTATTTTTTTTTAAAGCATACTGACACTTTAACAAATAAATGTAATCCTTAATAATAGTTTTAACAATTTGTATCCATGGTTCTATTTGTAAATGAATGCAAGAAGTGACTAATTTATGACATTATAACTTCAACATCCATCCATAGACTAGGAGACTGCAAAGTGACTGCGGAGTGGATTGAGCACTTGGCCTTTGCTCTCAAGTACTCTTACTCAGCTCTCAGAGATCTGGACCTCAGCAACAATGATCTGAAAGATTATGGAGTGGAGCTTCTCTGTGGTGGACTGTCGAGTCAATGCTGCAGGCTGGAGACACTGAGGTATTAACACTCATATAAAGTACAGTAAGAGATAATGGTAATAGACAGACAAGCTATAGCTGTCTTCCTGCTACCTTGTACTGTTTTTAGCTATGCAAGTGGTGATGGCAATGTTGGGTGGTTGGTCAGTCAGACTGAAATATAACACCTATTTATCTCAAGCAAAAAATGGATTACCTTAAATAATTTTGCGAACATCATGGCCCCCAGACGGTCATTCGTTTGGTGACCCCCTAACAATTTATATAGGGTCACCATCGGGTCAAAGTTTTCATGTATCTTGAGAACTATCTCAACATCTCCTGGATGGACTGGCACAAAGGTTTTTGGTGATCCTCTGACTTTCTTCTAGCTCTCATGTTTTGTCTCGAGAACCACAAACTTGGCCATAAAATTTGGTACAAACAGTCATGTTCCCCTCTTCCTCTTGAATGGCGTGAAACTCTGGCTATTCCACTATACTACCATCACCAAACTCTATACAGTAAATATTGTTTACTTGACTTGACTTATTCCCTTTTTATTGCTTAATAGCACCAGTTCCACGGTATCTAATCCAACCGGGCCACTTTAAGACTACCATGTTTACAGTCATTCAAAGATCCATGCAAATCTGTGCACTGCTGGTGATGCATGATGCATTTTATAAACTAATCTTAAACCTGTTTGCTGGTAAATATTGTGTTCTCTCAGGTTGTCTGGATGTCTGGTCACAGAGGAAGGCTGTGATTATCTGGCCTCGGCTCTGAAGTCCAACCCCTCGCATCTGATAGAGCTGGACCTGAGCTACAACAATCCAGGAGATTCAGGAGAGAAGCTGCTCTCTGAGCTAAGGAATGATTCACAGTTCAAGCTCAGTATAGTCAGGTAATTATGGAATACTACATTATTGACTTTCCTGCTAAACTGAAAGAGAAGTGTTTGATTGCTGCTACAAATCAACTGCAGTGAGATTGGAATGGCATGCCCTAAAAAGTCTGTAGTTCTACCTGATCTGAAGTCATGAATACTTTATCATCTCACTGAAAAACTTTTTTACATTCAAGTATTTTTCTCCACAGTTTTGAACATGCAGGAAGTCACAGGATGAAACCAGGCTTCAAGAAATGTAAGTGTCTATATATTTGTTGGATGAAATGAAAAACAAAACACAGTTAAACAGTTAAATGTAATGCAAAAGTTGCTGTAAAAACTGTAAATGTGAAATTTTCCTTGAATATAATTGGTTGTTCTTAGGAATGGTTCAAACACTCGATTAAAGTATTTTCTTACTCCCAGATACCTGTGAGCTCACTTTGGACCCCAACAAAGCCCATAAGAGCCTCGTTCTCTATGACGGAAACAGAGCGGTGACCTGGGTAGAAGACGAGCAGTTAGATCCCCCTCAGCAACAAAGGTTTGATCACTGCCAACAGGTGCTGTGTGAACAGGGTCTAGATGAGAGGTGCTACTGGGAGGTTGAGGTGTTCGGACCCGTAAGTGTTGGGGTCACATACAGAGGAGCCGACAAGGAAGGGATCATGAATGATTTCAAGATGGGACACAATGACAAGTCTTGGTGTCTGGTTTTCTCGAATGATGGTTATTACGTTTTGCACAACAATAAGAAAGTTGATGTGCCTTCGCTTGGATGGCGCTCCAATTGGGTGGGAGTGTATCTGGACTGGGAGGCCGGCATTCTGTCCTTCTACAGAGTTTCCTCTGACAGTCGGACGCGCCTCCATACCTTCAAAACAACGTTCAATGAGCCCCTCTATCCTGCTGTTGAACTTCACACTCAGTCGGCTGCCTCATTTTGTCAGCTACCTTAAACCAGCCATCCATAGTGTTCACACCAGCGCGGAATTTTTCAAGCTAAACATGCTTTTTTTTAGACAAACAAATGACATTTCTGGGAAACTTTAAGGGCCATCATTTTCTGACATTTTTATAGACAAAAGAACTAGTCAATGAAATGGAATATAATATTAATATGTATGCTTTCTTTAGTGTATAATCACCTGATTATAGGAATTGTGTTTGTGTTACTTTAGCGTGAGCTGTCTTTTACATGGAGTCATGTTGATGCTGTGTGTTTTTACAGTACAATACAAACCACTGGCTTTAGAATTTAATTAACATTTTCAATTTGTGGCAACCATACTTGAACTTGGCGCTTGGAAGAGGAAGGTGAAGCGAGGAAATAACATTTATTCACCACTGATGATATCGGTAGCTATGTTTATGCCTTTCTGGATTTTTGAACTCCTGACCACTGTAAGAACCTTGAAAGTGTTGTTTTTAATGTTTACATGAAGTGTAAAATTCTGGCAGATTCTAGGCAGCCTAGTACAGACTAATTCTGTTTTGAATTTATTGAACAACTATTTGACATTTGTGTGCTGTGTTTGTTGTAGTTTGGTAGTAGTTTCAATGACTGACAAGCAGAACAGGATCATGTAGGAGACGGCAGCTGATATTTTTGGTGCTTTTAAAATGTTTTCATTTTCAGGTTTTTAAGTGATGTGAAGTTTTTATTGTATTATTGGGTTAATATTGGGTTTCAAACTGGAGATGGATATGGAGATTTACTCGTCTTGGGCCTCATATAACATCAGAGCCCTATAAAAGGTATTGCTGTGTTATTGCGTGGTGCTGCTGTGCTGCATTGAAGAACATTTGATATTTTCTGGTGTTGTGTGTATGAATCTGAGCCGGTGTTATGTGTATTTGGTTAGTTTGTTAAGTCTTTTGTGCTGTCGTTTCTTTTCTTTTCATTGGCAGCTTTTCTAGAAAGAACAGCACAAATTTCAGAAAACATCTTTCCAGATTTCCAGAAGTTGTCTGGCAGCTGTTCTTTTTGTTTTTTTTTACTTTGTGAGATCTCTGTGTGAAAATGTGAGTTGTGAATGTGAGTTGTTTTGAGAATAAACATTCAGTCAATGAAAGAAGAAAGAACGTGTGTTTTTTTTAAGCTGAAGGACAGAAATGTTAAGAAATCTGGTTTTATTTTGGTATTGCATCATCCAGGTTTTATATCAGGCCTTTCAGTTATCTTGTGTAATTTCTCCTTTATCTTTATTCATTTATATGAAGAAAACTTTAATAACACTATATAAACACGCCACAAAAATCTAAATAAATTATATACATATATTGTTTTACCAAGCTAAAAGTGCTATTGGTTCATGTGTACAAGGACATAATGGCTCGTCCACCTTGTCATATTTGGATGAATGGTTCACTGGTTTGGCTGGCAGTTAAGGGCGGGGCAGTCTGGCTGCTTCGGGTCCCAGCTGTCGCCCCCCCCAGACTCACTGAGGGAGGGTGGGGCCTCTTCATCCATGTGTCACAACAGAGCCCTGAAGAGGATGCAGGGGGAATAAACACAATGTTGATGAGTAAAGTTCAGATTTAGTGTGGGTCTGAATCTTTGCTTACGGAGTTTAAAAATCAAGAAGACACTTCTCTTTAATCAGAAAGCTTATAATTATACACACACACATCACACACACAAGCAGCAACTGTTCAGGGAGTTTGTGCACCTGTAGTCTCCTTCCTCAGACCTCTCAGCTCATTATGTGCTGGTTTTCTACTAGGAAGGAAGATCCACATCTGATGAGTTTATTCATTTGGTCCTGACCTGAGATCAGTCACAACTGTTTCCACAACCTGAAGATTTTCCTATTTTCTCAGGTTCATGTGGGGAGGAGGTGGCTTCCTTATAGTTTTTGCTGTTTACAAATGTATTTTAAAGGAACTGTTTGACATTTTAGAATGTATACATATTTGTTTTCTCAAAAGCTTCACATTGAACGTATATGTTTGTAAAACAGTGAATTTTACTTAATAATAAATAATGAATATCATTTTTTTGTGTCTTGTTGCTAATTATTACACCCTAACCCTAACACAGCTAAAAGTAAAACTGGCAACAATAATATAAAATGTGACATCAGAGCCACAACCTTACCAGATAGCCACGCCCACCACCGCGTCATCAAATATTTATCTCATGAATGGAGCAGAATTATTTATTACTTCAGCCATTACAGTAATTTATCGTCTTTTATTTATAAGGTTTGACACTTAATCGCTTTGCAAGTATCTTTTGTGTAAAAAAAAATACATATTTTATGTCCCTTTATAATGAATTAATACTGATGTTAAACATTTTGTCTATTTTGTAACGTTTTGTATAAAAACAACAACAACATACCAACAGTAGTCAAAGCAGGTGCAGTAAACAGTGCTATCAGAGGAAGTGATATCACAGCAGTAAAAGTATGAATAGTAGTAACAGAAGTAGAAGTACTGTGCCTCTACAGCTGTAGGTATAATAACAAAAGTGTTTTACAGTTAATTTCACAAGTTTATAATAAGAAATAATAAAAAGAAATGTTCAGGGAGATGCACAGAAAAGAGACAATACATAAAACATAATAATATATAATAATAATAATTTAATAA